TCAAAGAGGCACACATCCATGTTTCAGGTAGAAATGCTTTTTTTAATATCACTCACATTAATTTTCAGTTACAGAAAGTAGAATCTAGAACATTTTGTCTCCTTATATTCACAGGTGATCTCTTCATGGTCCAGTCTAACACTGCTGTTCACATTATCATCAACTTGGCTGTCTGTTTAATAAGCATCGGGACAGCAGTAATCCTAATATGGAAATGTGGACAAAAGAAAACCAGTAAGTTCAAACTTCATAGCACTTTTTACTCCAACCTCAAATTATCATCAGACCTTTTTAATGTCTTGTTTTAGTGTAACTGCCTTTAAAATTAAAGGCTAAGAAGTACAAACGTGATTCAAATAAAAATGACACAAACACATAAACAGTTATGTTAAAGGCGCTCGAGGGAAAACAGTGGATGGAGACTGTAGAAATTACAGTGATTTACTAGCAAAATTGGAGGCTCTGAGCAACTTTACTTTTATAAAGGAATATAACCTTGTGTCCTGTGTTGTAAAGAGATGTGTTAAGACATGAAGAGTTGGTCTCATCAGTGCAGACTGACTAAGATTGATTGCAATATCTTGACTCTCTGTCTGCATTTATAAACTAAGTGTCAATTATTGGCAAGTGGTTGCCCGTCTGTCGGAGAGTAACTAGACTTAGTTTAAGTCACGCTGTGTTTATTTGTTGGCAGTTTGCATCCCATTAGCAACCTGTGCAATTGCCTTGTGATCAAAAGTGGAGTATAGAACACCCTCAACCTCTAGAAGACCAACTTGTTGCCACAACCACCTGCTGAATGTGTAGAAATTCCACACGAGGAAGTTGCCTTGCTATTGTTTTCCTCTAGTGTGACTGAGACATTTTGGGGGCAAAGGTAAAAATATTTGAGGAAATCACCCACTGTAAAATTCTAGTTATAGCAACAATATAAATTAAAACTTTTTGTGCTTCATCCTTGTTATAGGAATTGCGACCAAAATGTTCTCACTCGTTTACTCATATAAACAAAGCACTGAAAGAAAATTAAATATGAAAATTAGATATGCATGTGTGTGATTTTGAATAAAATTGGCCAAACCTCTCTGATTCACACGTAGCAGTTTCAGTACATCTAATGTTATTTTAAATATCCTTCATTAGTGATTTCTGAACATCTATTTTCACTGAATTTTGAAAAACATCTGAAAGTCAGTCCTTCTCAAAAGAAGACTTTGTTCTAGATTCTACATTGTTGTAGGGTGGTAACCATAGTGTCTCTATAGTAATGCTTCAAACTGTTTATTTCCATTTATATTTGATTACTGGTATAGTAAATTCCTGCAATTTTATCACACAGAAATCAGCAAACATGATGAGGATGAAAATGAACTACATCAAACAGAGATGGAGGAAAAATTACAGAGAGAATGTGAGGAAAAGAAAAGACTTGAAGATGAGTTGCAGAACAAGGAGGAAGACTTAAAACATGTCAGACAAACCATTGAAAAACTGATGGAGCAGAAGACATCTCTGAAGAACCAGAGAACAAAACTCAACACACTACTGCAGGAGGACAAGGCAGAGATGAAAGTGGTCACGAAAAAAGAGAAAGAAACTCCACTAACTGGCAAAGAGAAAAAAAAGAATAAGCTTGTAGATAAAAAAACTGACCTGGAAAAGAGAACAGAAGCACATGAACAACTGTTAAATATGACAGAAAAGCTAATGGAGGAAACAGAGAACATTATAATCCAAATGACAGAAAGAAAGGGAAAACTAGAAATAGACAAGGAACAAATTATTAAACACTTGAGAGAGAAACAAAAAAATGAAAGAGATTTAGAAGAAACTGTCAGAGAAACAAGCGAGAAACAATGAACAGGTGTGTAAGTTTTTCTTTAATATATTTCTTGCTAAAGTCACACGTACAAACTGTCGTGTTGTGCCTTCAGTTATAAAGCTCACCCGTTTGTTTGTTTTTTCCTTTTCTTCCTCAGCAAAGGACACGACAAAAAAAACATGGTCAAACATGGATTCTGCAGTTTTTTTTTTTCTCTTGCTGTCACTTTGCAATGTGTTGCCTAATGTTTCTTTATTTGTTTGCTTTAAATTTATACTATATACGTTTAAACAAGAAATGCAGTTTGACTGTATTTTATCATAGGAGATTTTGTTATGATAAAATGTATCAACATTTTTGTGATCCTTTAAATCTTTTGAAAGTAAAAATTACACAGTGAAAACAAGAAGAAAATTGTCGTGAGACCTGCGATAGAAAAAGATTAAAGTCCCCCCTGGCCACCTCCACATCACAGCTAAGAGATATTGAAGGTCTTAATAGTCAGACTTGTGTGAGTTCTAAAAGTTCTAAAACAGAGCTTTCATCTATTTCCTAATAATTAAGCATTTTATTCTTAATCAAGATAAATAAAATACAAATGTAATCAATATATTAATGACAAACATAGTTTGAGTAATTGAAATAACTGTTTTAATGTCTGAGTTCTGTGGTGAAATGTGTGAGTGCTCATGAGCAGCTTCAACTGTGGCAGTTTTGTGTTTCTAATAACAGGCTTCACCAAGAATCTGACCTTGGTGTGTGTGTGTGTGTGTGTGTGTGTGTGTGTGTGTGTGTGTGGTGCAGGATGAAAGTTATGGGTGAAAGTGACAGCCTGGGGCCAATTATATTAGAAAATGTCTGACTACAAAATGTATGATTCAATAAAAGAAGTTATTAAAATAAATAGAAAGTAAAAAAGGTTAATTAACAGATTTTAAAAAGGTGAAAGAAAGTATCCCTCTGTATTTAAAATGAAGAGGGATTCTGCTGCATCAAATGTTCATGTTAAAAAGTCCCTCAAATTCTTCATGTTAAGAATAACAAAGAAAATGCAATGAGTTGATTTTAAAGGTTTAAAAAGTACAAACTTTGTGTTAAATCATGTAAGTCAGACAGACAGAGAGTGACAGATAATGTGTGGGTGGACAGCGCATGATAAAATGTCAACAACTTGATTGGATGTCCAAAATGTGAATATGTGATGTCCAGTAAGAAAGGTATAAAATGGGGTGTAAAAGAGACTCTGGGTTCTTCCCTTTTGTCTTCTGTGAGATGAGCAGTTCAGAAAATTGGATCTAAGAGGTGAAAATTCTAGCAGGAACACTAAAAAGGGTAAAAGTCCAAAGTGTGAATTGATTTTGGAATTTATATCTGCTAAAATATCTGCTCAGTTTTGCCTGTTAGTTAATTCGGAAGGATTTTGAGTTACATCATACTTCCACTCAATGCCCAGCTGCTTTCCTGTTGGGTGATTATCATTAACTCAGAGCATGGGGATAAGATAAGAACAAACTCAGCATTAGCTCAGAATATGTTTTTTAGATAAGTATAGTTTAAGTGTTTTGATTATTGTTATATTGTATACTGTCCATCAACAATATAACAGTGTTTACTTTTTGCTCAGATCTTTTTTTTTCTCCACAATTACCATGTCATTATTTATTTTACACTCATGCATACATTAAACTCTAATAATACAAGCACATCGTCCAGCAGATATACAGCATAATTAGGTCAGCAGTTTCTTCCTCCAACACTTCTAAATATGCTTGCAATGCTGGAATTACATTTGCTGAAATATCCTATATTTGCTATTATTTAAAATAATTTTAGAAATTTTATGTTTGTGAGTGCATAAATACCTGAAGTATTATGGAGATGATTTGATGTGGTTATTCTGCAGAATTTAATTATTAGATTATTTTCAGTTTTGAAATCTAAAGCAAAAATAATATAATTGTCATAACTGCAGACAAAAAAAATGCTAGAACTGATTTATGGTGTAATATGTCCAGTGACTTTTTTTTAACTGTATGTCTGAGAATTGCAATTAATTATAATAAAACAAAAACAAATGCAAGAATGATCGGCCCTAAGTATATATTTAGGGCTGGATCAGATTACCATGAACCTTATGTTACTTATGCCTAGGATGCTAGGGGCTTCCTATGACACACTGAGTGTCTCTTCTTCAATTATCTTTTTTCCAGTCACCATTAATTATTATTTGTTATCAATCTAATCTCTGGCTCACTTCCACAGCCTTTTGTCCTGTCTTTCTCCTTTCACCCCCAAACTTTTGAATTCATTACGTATCATTGATTCCCTATATTAGTATGGAAGTTATGTTACTATCATCTGGTTGTCTTAAGCCCCTAGGTTGTTCAGTTTTTAGTTCTCTGCTATCAGATCCCTTTTGCTATTCACCCCCTGAGATTTAGTCTCCCTTGTTGGTTCATGTAGTTACTTGTCAGGTTTCATGTCTGTCATTTGTTTTCTTGTTGTCAAGTTCATGTCATGTCTGTGTCTTATGGTTCCTGTTTTACTTTGAAGAGGTTTTGTGTTCTGTGTTCATTGTTTTAGTTTCACTTTCCCCTGTGGTGTCCTCACGCTAATTTGTATCAGCTGTGTCCCCATGTGTTTCCCGTTCCCTCATCGCCTCCATTGTATTTAGTCTGTGTGTCTCCATTCGTTCTTCGTCACATGGTCATAGTTATCATAGTTAACGCATAGTTAATTCATAGTGATAATGGTCATCATAGTCTGGTCACAGTATCATAGTTTATTCAAAGTTTTCTTTATTTAGTCTTAGTCTGCACAATTTAGTTGTTGCTCAAGTTTGTTTCTTGCCTTGATTTATGTTTCATGTGTATAAACCCCAAATAAAGCTTTCTGTTCGAGTTAATTCCATCTTCTTGCCTGTGTCCACACCTGGGTCCTCCACACACACTCTGGCAGACCGTGACACAAACAGTTGTAGCAGATGTAGCTTGGTTGATTTCACTTCTGACTGTTTGATAATTTCTGCAAGTGGTAACTGAACAGACACTCTGAAACTTCTTGCTATTTATTATGTATAGTAATAGCTGTTACATGGGCTCCTCTAAGATCAGGACAAAAAATTACCTGAACTAATACCTGAAATTATGAAACCATAACCTTGTATCTTAGAGAAGATTAGAGAAATAAATAAGAAAAGCAAAGCAAAAGTTTCTTGTTAGATTTTTTCTATTTGGTAAGATATGAAACCCCAGAAATGATTTTAATTTTCTGGTGAAGTGAGTTTGAGTCAGTTCTTTGTAACTCATATATTTCCACAGTAAAGAAGTCAGAACTAACATGATTACCGTGAAAATAGTCCTTATGACAATGGCAAGAGTTCTGTGAGTAGGTTTGAGCAGTTCGAGCAGTTTTGTGAAGGGCTGCAAGAAAACAAAACATGTATAATTCATTATTATAGTTTGTTATTTTTTCTTTTTCTTTTAATATTTAATGTTTGAGAAGTACATTTTTCAGTTTTACTGCCTTATAATTTTTCTGTGACTTTTAAGGTTATTTTTTAATTGAGCCTAAAAGTAAAAAATCTTCACGTCTTACCTCGGACTGCCAGCCAGCTCTCTGGAGATTCTCCAAACTCTGAGATATTGCACTTATAAAGGCCTTCATCAGACTCAGAAACTCTAGTAATGGTCATCTTGCCTGTGGAGCTGCTGCTGACGTGTCGGTCATCTTTGAAGAAATCTGCTATGTGGGCAGAAGAGGTGACAGTACTTCTACAATTAAAAGTCACGACTTCTCCCTCCTTCACCGGAACAACAGAATTTTCCAGGATCACAGCTCCAGCTTAAACATAAGCACTACTGAGAGTCAGCTGTTATGACAAAATGTTGTCAATTTGTTTGATGTGTTCATCATTAAAGCAAATGTCTTATCAGTTAATCACAAGACAGCAACACAGTGTATAAAGGCACTGGATAGTGGCCAAGTTTACCTGAAGCTCAAACTGAGCATCAAAATAGGGAAAAATGTGATTTAAGTGAGCTTGACTATGCTTTGGGTCATGACCAACATCTTTGGGGTCTACAGAGACTGATCCAAAAAGACCTGTTAATGCCAGAGGTCAGAGGAGAAAGGCCAGACTCATTCAAGTGGTTAGGGAAACAAAAGTAACACAAATAATTACTTGTTTCAATTAAGCTATAGAAAAGACCATCTCTGAATACACACTGAACCTTGAAGCAGATGGGCTACAGAAAGAGAAGCCTCTCCGTGGGTGACTCCTATCAGCTAAGACGAGGAAAAGTGAGGCCACAATTTACACAAGCTCACAAAAATTAGAACTGATCTGATGACTCTTAATTTCTGCTGTGATATCTAGATAGAGGGATCCATCCTGACTTGTATCAGCAATTTAGCATGCTGCTCACAGTATAATAGTGTGTGGAATAATTTCTTGGCACACTTTTTGTATTGATGATGACTATCCCTTTATTTGTATGATGAATCCATCTAACAGGACAACACACCATGTCACAAAGCATTTTAGACTGCAGAGCACCTTTGGGATGTTGCAGAATGGAAATTTCACATTGACATCAAACAAATCCACTTTACCTTACAATAAGAAACGCCTTGGGACAATTGTAGTTGTGACTTGGTGTTATAAATAACATTGAATTGAACTGAATTGACTATGGACCACAGTCTCTGAGGAATATTTCCAGCACCTTGTTGAAATCTATCCCATTAGGAATTAAGGCAGCTCTGAAAGGTAGCAAAGTATACCTGTCCAGATAGAGCACCTTTTTTCTCCCGCTTGTTTTAGTTTTACTATAATTTCTCTATGCTTTAATTTACCTTTACATTTCAGCTTAGATTTATTGCAGCTAATTAACAATTTTTTTACATAAATGCATATTACCAGCGACTATGACGTTGACAGTGTTGCTCCTCTCGTTTCAATTCTCACACCAGTATTCCCCACTTTCTGTGAGATAAACAGGTTTGATGGTGCAGACAGACGTAGTTGTTGTCACCCAGTTACTGACACATGCACTGACTTCTCCCTTTCGTCTCCTCTTTACAGTCCATCCAGTTTCGGGATTAAGACCCCCAAAGTTAAT